CATTGACTTCATTGATATGAAATGAAAATCATAAAACTAACTGTGCTGCAGAGAAAATGGGAAAATAGGAAATTTGAATTTGAAGCTCGTCATCACACAGCAGAAGGATTCACGAAAAACTATACTGCAAAAAACCATCTGATTTTCCATCAAAAATAGCGATCCACCCAAAAAAAAGAGAAAGAAAAAGGAAAACAGAAAAAAAAAAGTGAAGGGACGATTTTGAGGTATATTTTTTCCATCAAGAATGGTGTATATGTTTACATCGTGATTTGTTGGTATATATACTTAAAAATATAAGCCGTAATGTTGGGGTATATATTTAAATATATATATATATATATACATAAAATATACCATCAAAAAATGTTGGTGTATGTATTGTATATATTTCAATGATTTTACTAAATATAAAACATAATCGTGGTATATATACTGAATATATAAATCATAATGTCGGTATATATTCTATGTATATATATCGAATATAAACTAAATATATATTTAATATATATACATAAAATGTATCATCAAAAAATATTTGGTATATGTATTGTATATATTTTCCTGATTTTACTAAATATAACCACACATATTGTATATATTTTCCATGATTCTCCCAATCGCCGTACCTAGTCGGCTCCAGCCCGCGGGGGCTGCCGACTTCACCCGTCTGCTTGTTCACCAAGTCGTCGTCGTCTTCTTCATCCTTGGGTGCTGGCCGCAGTTTCCTTTCATCCTCGGTTTGTCATGGATCTTCTCTTTCGCATCGGATATTTGCAATTCTTTTGTCTCTAACAGCTGATTCTGGAATAGTTGAGCCGTTGTGCAAATGGGCCCGCGGTTGGAAACTCTTGTGATCGACGACGATAACTGATGGTACATATTAGTAGCCATTTCGTTTCAGTTTCTCTTGAGAAATTGCTAGATTGAATAATATGAATACATTGGGAAAAGTGGAAGGGGAAATTTGCTTAAACAAGATGGCTCCGCAAGCATATGCGGTGGAAGAAAGGACGACGTTAGGGTTTGGAATATGATTGTTAATGATATTTAATCAAATGTTATTGGATTTGGATAAGGATGAAGATATATGTGCAAATATGTTGGGTGATTTTATATCTTTGAAAATAAATATTAATTAGAAGTAAATATGTAATATAAAATAAATTTGATAGTATGGGGTGTAAATTCCTCTTTGATTTAAGGGCCACAATTGATTCTACATCTAATAGCACTCCCGCCCAGAAGGCAATGGCACTGATATGATTTTTCTTCGTCACCATAAAGATTTGAAAAATAAATATCTCACAGAAAAAGAGCCCGCAAATCTGGAAATCCCTGAAGGATCGCTTTGAACAACAAATGGCCATAATCCTCCCTCAAACATAATTTGATTGGCTTAATCTCTCTTTTAGGATTTTAAATCCGTTACTGAATATAATTTACCCCTCCATCGTATTGTTTCACAGCTCAAACTCTGTAAGCAGAACATTAATGAGATCGAGTTCCTTGAGAAAACTTTATCTTTTTTTCATGCTAACAACCTTGTACTCCAGCAACAGTACAGGGCTAAAAACTATGCAACACATTCTGAGCTAATTTCTGCTTTGCTAGTGGCCGAAAAACACAATCAGTTGTTGATGAAAAAATCATAATACTATGCCAGTTGGGACTCAAGCAGTGCCTGAAGCACATGCGAATACTCACAAGCATAATAATTTGCGAGGAAGAGGTCGAAGATATCATAACTAGCCACCCCGTAGTGGTCGTAGTTGTGGTCGCGGTCATAATTATGTCTGGACTAAAGGTGGAAGACGAGGTCATGGTGTTGAGGAACCGACAGATCGAAGAGAAAATCTAAACATCGACGCTCTGCAAGCTAATCAAGGTAAACAAGTTTGCTATAGGTGTGGATGCAGTGGTCACTAGTCCCGTACATGTCGTACTCCTCGACACCTAGCCGAAGTCTATCAAAGAACGATCAAGGGTAAAAAAAAAAAAAAAGGCTCTTAAAGGTGAATCACATCACATTAGTTTGCCTGAAGCAAATTTAACAATAAATGATGATTATGATTTATTTAAGTTTGAGCTCGAGGACTATGGTGATAATGTGTGATTTCATATGCATTCTGTCTTAGTACTAGATATTTTATTTCAAGTTGAGTTTCATTATGGTCTTCTTTGTTCCA